GAGTATTGATCTTGATTTCACAACTACAACAATAAGATTATTCTGACTCCCCTCTGTTCTCTGCTGACATCAGGACTATCAGTGAGTGACTAAAACTTTCATGTCATCTATACAATTATCTCAACTTTTACACAGTTACATACTAATTTGGGTGTTATTTTTGTTCCTCTTACGTTTGTTCTTTAAGCTGTGTACAGTAACATATCACCAGAGTGATATTATCTGCCATGTTAGGCATGCATTTACATGAGCAAGGTGTGAATTATCAGGGGACTTGGGAGTCTGGGACCCCCTGATTAACCTCTTGGACCTGCTGAATGTTTCAAAATTCAAATTATGGGGTGTTCCTGAAAATAAACTTATTATGACATTAAGCTGTCATTGTTTAGCTGCCTCACCAACAGCTTCTGTCTTTGGTATTCTTAACTAGAGATGGACTGCTTTAGCAAATTCGTTTATCCAGTTGATACTTCATAGCCAAACAACTACCTCTAAAGTAGGTGCCTCTGAAAAACTTTACAGTTACCGTATATATTTGTAAATCTGAAAACTTGCTCAATTTTCCCAAGAGACTGGAGGAAAGAGTGAACTGTTACTCATTTCTCAAACCAAAGACAAAAGAGGAGATCTCAATGTGTGGAAGATTGCTTTACCAAACTAGAAAAGAGTGTTTACAGTAGTAGAACTATTGAACTAAACATTTTGTTGCCCTTGAAGCTAGCGTCAGTGCTGCTATGGTGAGTGAGCAGGCAGCTAACGCTGGATTAGCTAGGGCCCCTGAATATAAGGGATATTTCACATACTGTACGTGAGTAACTAAAGTTATGTACTGTCCACAGCATCTCATTTTTAATTAGCTACTATTAATTGTTGTCAAGCAGGTGGTCATTGTCTACTTTTTCATTTTGTTGATAGAATCACATTGCAGTTGGGAGATTTCTGCAAACTTTGGAGGACAATGCCAACCTCAACCTTCCTTACAATGTCATTCAAAGGGTGTTTTACCATTTGTCTACTTTGAAGGATTATGCTTACAGTTATTCTTGCAATAGATGAGGCCACAACCCACCCATGTTGACTGCTGATGCAAATTGGAAAATTGCTTGTAATTAACCAGGTAAGAAACTAAGCTGAAGAAGTAGTAGTCTGGTCTTTGGGGTCCTGATATTTGATCACACACAACTCAAACAGCTAAATAAGGGCTGCAGAAAGTAGCCAGGTGTATTTGGGTGCTAAAAGACAACAAATATGTGGACTGGCTTGGGGTCCATGAGGCTCTCTGTGCAAGCAACACTTTGACAACTTTGTCAACATTAAATGCACTTAAAGGCAATGCTGTTGATTGATATTAAGATAATTGCTTCTTTCATGTACTAATCCACCTGTTTAGATGCCCAAATTTGGATAATAACAACCTTGAGGACACTCAAGTTAACGTAAGGACTAGATGGGAGATGTCTGAAAAGCAGATTGTAGCATCTGGGTTTTGTGATTGTAAGAGGCATTCAAAGATATTGTCAGTCAACAATGTTTGTAAATGAATCCTATATTGCGGATATAATGATTGTCTGTTTATTTTGTATCACCAGGTACCACAATGTCCAATCCTTATAGTACTCTGCATTGTTTAGGACACCAGACATGATGTTGTACCAAAGACATTTTTAAAGGTCTGTCCCAAAAGGGCCGAGCATTCCCTTCAAGGCGTGGGTTGAATATAGATGAAGATGCCATATTGCAAGCACTGGATTCAAAGCAGCAAGTACTGCCCTTGAATGTACATAAAGCAAAATATTTTACTACAAAATTTCTTATACCTTTTGTGGTTTTATGTTAGTTATACGCCACGCAAAATATAATGATAGCCTGACCTATTCTTTATTGGCTCTGTTACCTGTGCTTAGCCCAGAACAGAGGACTCAAAGAAAGCATGCAATACTCTCGGCATGTCCGATATCGGTAGTCGTACAGACTTGATCAATCGACTTGAAGAGCTTCTCCTTTACAAGGACCTGTATCCTAAAATGTTCAAGCTCCAAAAAACTGGTGGTAAGAGACAACTCAAACAAATCTCACAGTGTGATACAACATTGTCTTAACATCTTTTAAAACAGTGGTAATACCTCATTCAATCTTTGAATCATATTCACTGAGCATTTATAAATCTTTTTTTCTCACTACTTACTAATTATTATTATACACGTATGATACTACAGCAGGTCACATAAGCCCTTTTCACTGTTAGATTGGAAGTTTTATAGATAAATTTAGCAAATTCTCCAAGTTTTATTTTATATCCAATTTAGATGGAGTGCTACACCTGACCTGTTTACACTCTGTAGTGTATTACCAGCCAGCATTGTGGTGGCAGGAGTCAGCCCACGACCACGGAGATGCTCTTTTGAGCTCTTTGAGTCAGTGTATGTGTCCGACATCATGGGACGTGTTGCCAGGCATGTCAACAACCGGACAAACCAGTGTTTTTTTCCAGCCACGCGATGGTTGTCTGTGTGCCATTACAGATGAGAACATCCAGGCTACACTGGAGAAACATCTTCAAGTCCAGTTTTCATGGGTGAATGTTGGCATTTTGCATGTATTTAGTGCTTGCTGGTGTCTACACGTAACTTTTTAGAATTTTCAGTTATAATTGAGCTATACTGTCATAAAATTACTATGTCAGCATTTCTATCTGTTGCTGAGTTGGATGTAAGGGCTGCAAAAATATCAGAAGAAACTCTTCATTATGGACAGAGCTGCCATTTACGTTTGTACCATGTCTCATGTCTGGTGAGGAATGTGGCTTTTAAGGTACGATTCAAAGATTCAAAGATTTATATTATCCATACAAATACACTGGAAATACTTCTCACTCAGAAAAATACAGTAATATGTTTGATGTCATGACGGGTATCGTGTGACATTGAATGTACTGACAAATGAATGTTTGTTTCATAGGACTTCCCATCACGCCTAGAGGGAAAAGATGACCAAGGTTCTGTAGCAGACAACTGTTGCATTGCCTGAGACATCTATGCTTGTGTTTTCCAGAAGATAGAAAAAAGTGAGCACAGTGTATATTTTAAAGGTATGTGTTACACATGTAGTTCCTTGTATAGTCTAATATTGTTGCAAACTTATTCGTTTGTATATCATTGTGTTTTTAGGACCATGCATTCCCATATTAAAACAGTGCAGTGAATCCAGTGTGATTACCGTGATGGATGGTTGCACAGTAACTGTGCAAGGATTGATGTATCCACACTGGACAGAGATGCACCATTCAGCTGTGGATGCCATCTCCCACTGCTTCACCCCTGTGAAAGGTAGAACCGCCTATCTAGATTCCTCATGTAATGAAAGATAATAGATAACAAACAGAAATAGTGTCAAATGTTTTTTTAATCTATAGTACACATGAAGCATTGCGGAAAGGCCTGTTTGCAGACTTGTTAGAGAATGGGGAAATTCTAGTATGAGAAGTGAACACGTTTTAATGCCCAACATTCTAACAGTTGTCTATGGTGATCTGTGCATTTCTAAAAATCAGTTTCTATAGAAACTGAGATTATCTTCTATCTGGGACCTTGAAGTCACATCAACTGTTCCTTCACAACAACCCTACATGTAATCTCAAAATGAAAGCTATGACTGAACGTCGTTTCTGTGTTTTTGATAAACAGGTAGTGTAAATATGCTACCCTATATTACATGCTTTGAATATGTACATGAACTTTTGGGAAGAACTTAATGAAAATGGCTAACCCAGTACTTTGCTCATGTCAGAATGTAATACTGTGTTATCTGCAAATTGTAAGTAAAACTGACAGGCTGGAATGTTTTGGTTTTTTTTTGTATTTGTGGCCTATAAGGACCCCTTCTGCCACCTCAGGCACCATTTATGGTGGAACAGAAAATTCGAACAAGGAGCTGGCAAATACGAAGTTGACTTCTGCTTTGTAAAAAGTCAAACGTTGAGAGACATTTTACAAGAAATTATTCTAGTATTGTGGAAAAGTTTCCTGACGGAGATGCGAGAAAAGCAGCTATAGCTGAGCTATATTATACTTAAGATTAAACTGACAATTCAGTTCACACAAATCATCGCCCTAATAGATCACTTAAAGCAGAGCAAAATAAGTCTGTGTTTTCGTTTATATTATAGTTTTAGCCTATACTAGGACATTAACACATATTGAGACATATTTACAGCCAAGATGGTGAAACGTTACTTCAGTAAAATGTACAGATGGTTGAATTTTTGTTGAAACTTAACATAATGGTTCTTCTTAACATTTGGGTTGCCGACCCCTGGCCTAGACACACGCAAACTACACCTCCCCTCCACATTTGGTGCCTGGATGACTTGCGGTGTCTTCTTGACAACACATTTTTTCACAAGGAAAAGAAGAATACAATAAACAGAAAGAATAAAGAAAATATGAAGAATAATAATCAAAAGCTAAAGAGATGTGTGCACATATCTCCATGTATTTGTAATATCTGTACATATGCAGGTCTGTAGAGGATGCGTTAATTTATTTGGTCTTAAATCAACAAAGTACATAATTTGACCCAAACTTTTGCGTACAACTGTGAGTTTATTGGCAATTTTCAAATCATACTTCAGATTAAACAGACAATTCAGTTCACATAAATCATCGCCCTAATAAATCTCTCTTCACAGTAAAGGGAAAGGCAAAGAAAGCAAAGTGCAGCAGGTCTAATTTACTCTTTCAGGGCTGAAAAAAAAATATTTTGAACTTTGTAGGGCAAAACTTCTAGAATTGGTCCAAAATAAGAAAGGAAGTGCATCTACAATATAAAGTGCTAGCAAATGTAAATATTGCAGTGCTTTCTCAGTGGCTAAACCTCTTAGCCTTCAGGTAATGTATTACAGAGCAGCATTTTTCAGAGCAGAAAAAGGGAAAAAGAAGGTTAGCGCTGCTGCGGACAAGATTATTTCGAAAAGTCTGAGTAAGGTGCGCCAATACAGCTGCTCAATTTTTACCCGCTTTTCTCCACCCGCTAGTTAGGACTCCCCCAATCACACGATGCTATCAACGCTAGGAGGCTTCCTCCTGTGAAGCGCCACCGCATCTTTTCGAACTGCCGCTCAGACAACGTCACTGGACAAAATATTGACATATGGACAGCTGAACGCGCTCGGACGAAAGCACCAAGATCTGTTACGTCAGCTAACAGACGCCCGCGCTGACTAGCATCGCGCTGAGTGATGGGGGGAGAAGGAGGGGCCATCCTACCCAGAGAGAGCGAGGCCAATTGTGCTCTCTCGGACTCCCGGCTACGGATGGCTGTAGCATCACCAGGGATCGAACCCGCGATCTCCTGATGACAGGGCCAACGCTTGGACGGTTGCGCCACTCGGGAGCCATACAGCTGCTTCTTAAAGGAGCACTTTACAGGCAAAAGAGAAGACTGAATGATATGCTGCTAATAATACCAGTTTTACACTGAGCTAACACTAAGCGTCAACACTAAGAGTCAAGTCATCCAAAATACTGTCCCCTAAACCACACTGAAAAGTCTGCGTGACCTTAATGAAGACCTGGATGCAGTTTGAGTGGGTTGAGAAAAGCTTTAAGAATGCATTTACAGAAAAGATTTGGGTGACTACTGACTTCTAGTATTTGCTAGCAAGTTAGCCTTGTAGCTCCCGCGCTAAAATAAAGAAGCAAAATTAGGACACCAAACGTTCTCGGCAGACAACATCAGGGGTAAGTGGACAAAGAAACTTGATATTGTAAAGTGTTCCTTAAACATGCAAATCAGTTATGCTAATTGGGGGCTTTTGGCCTTTATTCACAGAAATAAACGCAGGTCTATAGGTAGCAGTCTCCAAAAAGGAAGCTCCAATCAAGCAATATTTCAAATGTTGTGTGACGTGAACTTTTCTTTCTCTGCTCCTTTATGGGTCTTTAAAAAAATACGTAATATTTTTAACATTTTCAAGTCTTTTTCATATGAGCTGTGGCCCGAGTACCTGTAAAACATTCAAGCAGTAGCTCTCACAAAGCTTTTCAGCACCTCTTTCCATTTAGTATCGTCCATTCAAAAATTAGCATTACTTCCACTTCTTTTGCCTAAAAGACGAATTAAGAAAACGTTCACACCTGCATGACTCCACATAGAAGGCACAGCAATAGACTGATTCACTCAAAGAGCTTCCACAGAGCCACTGCTGTCCAGATATTTTTGATCATTCTCACACGTTAGTGCGTTAGTTGAGAGTGGTCCCAAAAATATTCAGCCAAGTGTGGCTCTGTTGTCAGAAACTGACCACTGATGAAACATGGCTAGCCAGACGTTTGCCAAAGTCTGGAGTGTTTTGTCGCTATATGTGGCCACGACCGCCTACCAGAAAATGCCATTAGGCTGTCATGAAATACTAGGGCTGATTGTTTTCACAGTGACATCCAGTGAGAGCATCAGTGGCTGCATGTTCCAACTTCTCTCTCGTACCTCTTACTGCTGAGTTGCATCTTGTTTTGAGGGAAACTGTAGCTTCACATTCTGCTAGTACGTAGGTTGTTGATTTGTCTTTAGTTTTCCTGTGAGCACTGTCCAGTGTAGTCTGCCAGTGCTTACATGACTGATGTTACTGATATTGCTGGCATCAGTGCTGTGTTTGACTTGTAAAAGACACTTCAGACTTGACGCACTTCAGTAATAAACAAATTCACAGCATGGTAGCAGATGGAAATATCAAGAGAAGCATCAATGACAGCTGCCAGTTCAATTGTGTATTAGAACAAGAGGACTACAGACTTAAAGTCAGCAACGGCGTGTTGACAGCTTTGACAGCTTTAAAAAAGTAATAATAATAATCACAGAACCTGTTATAGCGTGACGTGTGGGGGTGCTACAACCAATACAAACTCACAGAAAACAAATGCGCTGGCAAACGTGAAAATATCTCACTTAAAAGCTACTACATGTTTCAAAGAAAACTCCAACAACTTTTAAACACACAATGCTGTTAAACTTTCTTCAATCCAGTGAATGGTCTTACTCCAAAAGGCTCCGGACTGATAAAACTTGCTGCGTGGAAGTGCGTACACACAAGGACATGAGGCTAGCCAATCAGAATATAGTGATACAACACAATACAACCGATAGTTGTGGCCGGCTTAATGTGTAATTGACTTCTGAAGCCATGCATCATTCTGTAACTGGTGTCGTGTCATTCTCTAGTCATACTAGGAACTGAAAGAGATTCTCAAAATTCAGTGCCACGTGGTAAACAAGAAAGATTTCAAATCTATGTTCATTTTTCCACCAAACGTCACTGGATCCTTTAAAATATGAGGCTTGTTAAGGTGTTACGGAGACGAAAGATGAACATTGCTTCATTCATGCTGATAGCAAGCTGCCACTACTGACGTTGCACGAAAGTCTACTTTTAACTTTCAACACTGTAACTGTAACACTTGTCTATCAACACCAGCTGCTCCTACTTTACTCTGCTACTACCAAAGCACCATCACTATAACTGGATAAAACCTGCTGGTTTGTTTGGGGTATTTTTGTGCACTCGCTGTCTTATGATGTCAGTTCAGTGTGCAGCAGTGTTAGTTTGAACGTAGCAAATTTAATTTTTCAGTTGCTTAACAGCCTCGTAATTTAGAGGATCCAGTGACGTTCAGTGGAAAAAATGAGTGTAGAGTGATAAAGTGGCCTTTTCCTTTAGCACTCTAATGAAGAATTTGTTAATCTGTTGGGCTGAATTAGGTGAGCTAAATGAAAACTGATAAACTCAGCAGTACTTTGGCATTCCAGGACTAGACTCTGCTCCCCCCTCCTCTACAGCTCTTCACGGAGGCGGGTGTGCAGGTCTTCCCGGTCGATTTTGTCTGTCTGGTCGTGATAGCGGTGGTAGGCGAGCAGTGCCACGTTGCGTGCTGCAACAACGCTCAATTCCATGCAGCTGGCAGCCCATTCGATGGCGGTGAGATAGTATAAACGGTCGTGGAGGATGAACGGTGGCATGGGGTGCGGTGAAGAGCTGTATGAGGGGTAAGCCAGCCAGCGCTTCTCCCACACCCCCTCCCACGACACGAAAATCTCCCGCAGCTGTTCCTCAGACAGCGGCTCCTGGGAAAAAAACTTCCACACTTTGCTCTCGCTGGCTGGGGGCCGGCGGTAACCCGGGGGAAGGCGGGTCGGGTCCACCGAGGACAGGCTATTAAAAGCCAGCGCCTCATTATCTGTGGTAAAAATGTCAGAGACATCAAAGTCGGCCAGGTACTGATCGATCCCCAGATATGATGTGTTGACCTGACCCATGACCAGCGTGGTCACAAGGTGGTGGTAGTGGCCAGGAAAGTGAGATGGGATTGGAGGTGAGAAGCCAGAGAAGCTGATGTCAGAGAGGCCTTCGTGAAGGGCCGCGGCCACAATCACAATGTCATATATGGAGTGAGTGGGGCCAGAGTCACCAACGTAGATCACCTCGTAAAAGCTTGATTCAGTGCCTGATTGGTGGGGAAAGTGAGAGGTTATAAAAATACTGTTTTTTTACAGTGGTTATATTTAGGTACATTAGACTGATTTCTTGCATTTCATAGTAAGTGGCTTAGCTATGGCAACAAACAACCCCAGCAAGTGGTAGCTTATTTTCAGGGTTTTCTTTACCTTTTTTCATATTTTTAAAACTATGAAGAGGCCTTAACAGGAAGCAGTCACGCCATTAGAGATCAATTGACAGTCAGCCCTCCAAGTAAACAACAAATAAAGAAAATTTATGACATTCTGTAGTCTTATCCAGCCTGCCTCAGCTCCTCTTCACTGCACAGGTTAGGGTAACACTTTACTTGAAGGCTTCTACATAATATTAATGGATGTTATATGCTGTCATTAATTCCCAGGAGAGGTTTCCTTCTGTCATATAACAGCATTACCATTAGTGGTAATTGTCATGACATGCGTCGTGATGTTTGACGTCATACAGCTAAAAAGAACAGAATGTGACATAAACTGTCATGACAATAACCAGTAATACTATAACCAGCAAACACGACACTGTTATATTACTGAATTCTGTCACGTGACAATGACTTGTTTCTGTTATGTCAGTGTAATGTAACAGGGTTCATGTAAAGTGTTTCCTTGGTTAGTGCACTCCTCATTTGATAGCTGATGTATCCAGCTGATCAGACTTTCAGGTGCATGTGAACTCCAGGCTCTTGGCTCTTACAAATATTGATCAGCCATAGCCTGAACTAACTCTGATGTTTCGCACAGCCAATAAAGAATTGCTTTACCGCTTTTGGACGGCTTCATCTTCAGAGAAATATCCGTGACCCGGGCCTGGATAAGTTCAGCCTTGGTGTGGGACAGAAGCTCAGAGCAAACCCGCTTATTTCCTCCATCCACTGCCCACTGGCCAGAGTCAGCACAGGCCAGGGACACGGCACCTGCAGAGAGACAAAATCAGTTCTGTTTTTATTAAAATATTTTTTTTTCTAAACTAATATGTATAACCCCATTTCCAAAAAGGTTCGGATGCTATGCAAAATGTAAATAAAAACAAAATGCAATGATGTGCAAATCATTTAAACCCTATATTTCATTGAAAATAGTAGACAACAAATCAAATGTTGAAACTGAGAAACTTCATTGTTTTTTTAAAAATATATGCCCATTTTGAATTTGATGCCAACGAGACATTCCAAAAAAGTTGGGACAAGGGCATGTTTACCACAATGCTGCATCGCCTCTTTTTTTAACCAACACTCTGTAAGCGTTTGCAAACTGAGGAGACACTGCTGCAGTTTTTTAAGTGAAATGTTTTCCCATTTTTGCTTAACATAGGATTTCAACTGCTCAACAGTTCAGGGTCTCCTTTGTCATATTTTTCATTTTATAATGTGCCTAATGTTTTCAGTGGGTGACAGATCTGGCCTGCAAGACAATGTGGTTTTACATTGTCTTGCTGAAATAAACAGGACCTTCCCTGAAAAAGACGTTGTCTGGATGGCAGCATATGTTGCCAAAACCTGTATATATCCTTCAGCATTAATGGTGCCTTCACAGATGTGCACGTCACCCATGCACTAATGCATCCCTATACAATCATGAATACTGGCTTTTGAACTGTGCACTGATAACAAGCTGAGTGGTTTTTAGCCCAGAGGACACAGCGTCCATGATTTCCAAAAAGAATTTCAAATGTTGATTCGTCAGACCACAGAACACTTTTTCACTTCCGCTCAGTCCATTTTAAATGAGCTTGGGCCCAGAGAAGGTGGCAGCATTTCTGGATCCTGTTTATATATGGTTTCTTCTTTATGCTTAAGGGTTTTAATTAGCATTTGTGGATGCAGCAATGAACTGTTTTCATAGACAGTGTTTTTCCAGAAGTGTTCCTGAGCATATTCAGTGATTTCCTCTATAGAATCATGTCTGTTTTTAATGCAGTGCTGCCTGAGGGCCCAAAGATCATGGCCAGCAAATACTGGTTTTTGGCCTTGTCCCTTGCATATAGAGATTTCTCCAGATTCTCTGAATCCTTTGATGTTATTATGTACCATAAATGAAAAAAGGTTCTTTGCTATTTTATGTTGAGGAATGTTATTCTTGAATTGTTGCACTATTTGCTTGTGCAGTCTTTTATAGAGTGGTGAACCCCTCCTCATCTTTACGTCTGAAAGACTCAGCCTCTCTGGGATGCTCTTTTTACACCCAATCATGTTACTGACCTGTTGCCAATTTAAGCATTACACAAATTTACCAGCCTTTTGTTGCCCCCGTCCCAACTTTTTTGGAACGTGTTGCTGGTGTCAAATACAAAAAGAGCACGTAAGACTACGTATTAATGAAATACAGAGTTTAAATGATTTGCACATCATTGCACTTTGTTTTTATTTATATTTTTCAGTGTCCCAACTATTTTGGAAATGGGGTTGTACATTTATATGCAAGATTATAAACATGCATATGTCTATATGCAACAAATTTGACTACACTGTTTCTGGTTTATCATCAACTGGCTTAAGGCAGGTTTCCCAGAACTTGATTAAGCTCAAGCCTAGACTAAAAAGATTTTTCAAAGGATAATTACCATTATTGTTATAATTTAGTCCAAGTTTAGGCTTAGTGCAGGTCCAGGGAACCGACAATTAAAGAATTTAGCCATAAGATTCTGCATGCACCACCCTGAAGATGGTGCTATTGTCCTTAATAATTACGAGCCATTAGATACAAACCTTCTTTTAGGCAAATAGGTAAAGCTGACTGTAAGCGAAAGCACTTACTTGAACATGCATATCCATTCTAAATAACACTAGAATTTATGAATGTGTGCAGAAAAGAATAGTGAGACTATAATTATACATCATTCTGCAATATTTGAGAAATTGTATGACATTTGTTTTATGTTTTATATGCTTTTTTTAACAGTGTTGTGATAATTTCTTAAGACAAAAAATACTGTGTTTACTTTCAATTTGAGAGTAGTGAATTGTCCATTTTATCTGCTCCACTTACTATATAGGAGCACTTTGTAGTTCTACAATTAAACCCCTCGTTGTCACTGCTGGCCTGAGAATAGTCCACCAACCAAAAACATCCAGCCAACAGCGTCCTGTGACCACTGTTGAAGGACTAGACTATGACCAACACAAACTGTGCAGCAGTAGATGAGCTATCATGTAGTTTAAAAACTCCAGCAGCGCTGCTGTGTCTGATACACTCACACCAGCGCAACACACCACCACCACGTCAGTGTCACTGCAGTGCTGTGAATGATCCACCACCCAAATAATACCTGCTCTGTGGTGGTCCTGTGGGGGTCCTGACCATTGAAGAACAGGTTAACAAAGTATGCAGAGAAACACACGGACTGTAGTTTGTAATTTCAGAACTGCAAAGTGCTCTTATATGGTAAAATGGACAACGAGCGTAGATACAAGGACGAGTACTTAATGAAGTGGCTGATCAATGTAATTGAGTAAAAGTCCAAGCATTCAACTTCAGTACTCAGTAGTAAAGTAGAAATCTTCTAAAATAATTCCTAAGTACATTAACCAAGTACAATCGCAGAAGTGATTCCACTCCTGCTCATATCTCTTTCAGCTTTCGCCCAAGTTCTTAAGGACCATTATGCTGTTCTGGACAAGCTACAGACTAATTCTAGCTGAATGTAGCTAATAATCCTGGCTAATGTATAAATGATCTGAAAATGTGCTAAAATAATCTAATTGAATTGTGGGAAAAATTTTACATTTCATGATGCATCTAGTCATTTCCTAAAGAATTTTAATTGAACTGAATCGCTGTGAGGTCAGAGATTAACACACCTATTAAGCAGGGTATCGTGCTGTGAAACTTACCCACGAGAGCAGTGAGGTCAGCGGTCTGGCCGAAAGCAAAGCGTGAGAGCGGAGTCACAACGTTGTTGATGAAGACCTGAGAGAAGCCATCAGCCAGCATGACCTCCTCCAGTGTCTGATTGATCAGGGTCAGGAAGCTGTCTCCACCTAAGCCATGCAGGAGCTGCTCCACGCTGGAGAAGGAGTAACCAGACTGCTGGTACTGATAAATCCTGTCAGGAGAAGAGGACTCAGTTTATTCAATGGGTAAGGGTGGGCACCTCAAACTGTGTGCTTTGTGTGGTGGTATTAGTGTAAAAGGATCGAGCTTTCAAAGCCTTCAAAGCTTATTTGTGGAATAAATGAGAAGGGTTATAAAGCTGAATTATCTTTGGATTGTGACTCAACGATAAAGTTGCAATGTGGCTCCTAAATGAAGACAAGTTGTGAACTGCTGCTATAGAACATGCTCTGTATTTAGTACAGGTGCATATGACCTTCTTATCATGTAACTGATGACCAGAACTGAACTGCTGTAGGACCCACCTCATGAACTTACTTAGAATGCCCTCCACCCACTTTTGCATGCGACTGGACTTTAAGCCTTCGTCGAAGGTCAGCTTCTTCCCATCAAATATGGCAAGCTTAGTAGGGACATCATGGGTGGACAAGCCTGATGAAGAGGGCAAGAATCTGAATATTTACTGTATCAATACAATCTCTGAACTTTTTTATGCTATTTGAAATCAAAAACTGCCATTTACACTGTGTGAATATTTCACAATGACTGGACCAATAAAAATGATGTAAATTGACTTTGTTGATCATCCGTGTGCCACCAAAATAGCTCCAAGCCAGCGATGCAAGAACTCTGAAGGTGCCCAGTGGTATCTGGCACCAGGATGTGACCTGTAAGTTGCGAACTGGAGCCGACACTGCTCGGATTTGTTATCCCAGCACATCCAACAGTTGCTCGATTGGATCGAGATCTGGGGAATTTGGAGGTCACAGCAACACCATGAACTCTTTGTCATGTTCCTTAAACCATTCCTAAACAAGGTGCATAGGGTGGCAGGGCACATTAACCTGCTGAATGAGGAATACCACTGCCTTAGAGGGGTGTAAGAGCATCACATTCCCTCCAACTGCTTGACTTTTCCAACAGTGCATACGGGTGCCAGCACGTCCCCAGATACACGGTGCACACGTATCTCTCCGTCCACAGAATATAAATGAAAACAGAACTCATTAATCAGGCAACCCTGCTCCAAAGTCCAGTTCCAACACTCATGCCCAAGCACTTCCACAGTTAAACGATGCACACATAGCTGTCTGCCCAGGCAGTGTAAATAAAAACAGGACTCGGAAGATCAGGTGACCTCCGTTTATTGCTTCAAAGTCCAGTTCCACCACTCATGCCCAATTTTGGCACTCAGTGGTTAGCCTGGGCACTCTGACCAGTCTGTGGCTACGCAGTCCCATATGCAGCAGCACGTTCCTCTCGTAAACATCATTAAAAATTTCTGTGACCTGTGCCAGCAGCCCTTCTGTTGGTTCTGGCTAGATGGTAGAGCCTTTGCTGCTTAGTGAATCCAACCAGAGGTGTTAATAGGATGGCATCTTAGGGTGGGCATTTGAATTATTTGGGTGGGCAACAACAAATATGCTGCTTTTTCTAAACAGGGTATGTAAACAAGGACAAAGTTGGGTGGGGGGTCGGGGGAGTTGGGACAAAAGGAATACAATTACTCCATCCTGTTTTGGATGAGCCACCTAAATTTGTTCTGGAAACATGCAGCTTGCAAAACAAGAAAACTCAACTGATAAAACTATACATGACTACTAATATAACTTATAAAAACCAGAGAAAAAGGTATAAACAGTTTTACTTTGATTGCTGTGAGCAGGTTTAGCAGTTCACTTAACCATGTCTGTACTGCATGTATGAAACAGTGTTGTGTTTTAGCAATAATGTAAAGGAGGAGCACTGAACAGTCAATAGGAAAGGCAGTGCACTGTCAGTAGGTACTCACCACTGCTGACCTGGAGTGCCCCACAAGCCTTGCCATGTCAGAGATGTGTGTCAGATAACAATTTGGCTCTTGTTAAATTACTAAATTGCCTCTCCAGCCACAATTAAAAAGATAAGCAACATTGCTGTTTTTATTCCAGGTGACATTGTCTCTTCCTCGACCCAGAATTAGAAGCATCTTCATAGGCTCCCAGTACAGTATCGTGTTCTATACAAATTGCTTGTGCTGGTTTTTAAATCTTTGTATGGCCTCGCCCCCTCCTACCTTGGTAGGCTGCTTCAGTCATACTCTGCGGCATGCACTCTTCACTCCTCTAAGGCTTCCTGCCTCTAAGCTGCGGACTTTTGGTGACAGGGCATTCAGTGTTGCTGGCTCCAAGCTGTGTAACAGTCTCCCCTCTGAGTTGCATGCTTGTTCGACCCTGGCTTTGTTCAAAGCTTGTCTTAAAACCCACCTTTCCTGGCTTTTGGGTGAACCAGAACTGTGATTTTTAAATTATGTGTATTGTTTTTCCATGCTTGTACAGGTTTATTGTACAGTGTCTTTGGGCGTCTTGAAAGGTGCTTATCAAATAATTTATTATATTATTATGATTATTATTATTATTATCATCAAAGTCATTCAGGTCCTCACGCCTGCCCATTTCTCCCACAATAGGACTTACTGGCCGTTTGCCATCATACATCACGGAAATACTTAGTGTAAATAATGCAGTTTATCAGACTTGTTCCAGTCACTCGATCAGCCTTCAGGTGCCAAGAGCTTTTACTGAAGTGGGAAAATCTGCTTTTAGCTGTAGAGCAGCACTGAGCTGGACTTCACTACAGGAAACTCTAAAGCTTCACTCGCTGGTGTTGCATGAACATCTTAAACATTTATTCTGTAACCACCTTCACTCAGCCTGTAACTGTTTTATTTTTAAATTTTAACTTAATATGGCATGTTTTGGTTATTGTTTTACATTTTTTATTCATATTAATTATTTTATTACAGACTTTTACTTTTTATTACTGCTGGGTAATTGTTTTACAGCAGTTCATTCAACTGAAGTACAGCACTGTGTGTCAATTGTTTACAGTTGTGTGGGGAACACAGACATCTAAGTAAAAACAGAAGAGTAAAATACTGACTGCAAAAAGGAATATAAGAATTTTTTTTTTTTTTTCTTAGGAAGGATAAACATTATTTTTGTCTTGTTGCTTTTTCTGAATTTTTGCCTGATGTATGTCACTTAGCAAAACAATTTAACATAATGTAATAAAACTATTAACATATATTCACCTAGAAAATGTTATTTGACCAGGGGTGTTCAAACTTTTGCATATGACTGTATATCAGGATCTGTCATATATTAAATACAACTGGCTCCCTCACTCAGTATTATATTTCCCTGTCTAAATACTTCTTAAGCACAAAAATAGTGAGTGAATGTGCAAAACGTGCTGCGCTGCCTGCTTTGTCTGAGCGGATCATCATTACTTCACGTTCATGCTTACTGTGACACTGTCCAAACATTTCTGCATCTGACTGTAAACTGTGTTGCCTATGAATCATGTGTTTGTGAAAAACTCACCCAGTTTGTCCACAAAGTGCTTCATATGCAAGTTAAGTGGGTGTATAATGGACCCTCCGGTTTCATAATCGTGTCCCCTGATGTTCTCGGTAGCAAGACGTCCTCCTACAGTTCCTGCTTCAAACACGTCAATCTTGACGGACGGTCCGAACTCCTGCCTGAGGAAATATGCTGCTCCTGTTCCTCCGATTCCTCCTCCAATGATGGCTAAAAGAGTCACAGCAAAGCCACATTCGTTATTTCAGTCAGACCGTAACCTCGTTACTTCATTTTTCACTTTTTAGTTTTATACACCGTAATAAAACCACCAGCTGCTCTTTACATTGTGTAAACGTTATGATGAATCGACCAACAGACATCCAGAATAAAACCCTGTGACCGTTAAGAATGTTTTTCCTTCTCTTAACATTCAGAAGTTTGGAATCATTTTTCATATTAATAAATGGCTACTTATTCAGTAGTAATATATACGGCAAAGATTTACATACCATAGGTGAGACACTAGAAGGTATTTTAAGATGTTTCATTTTAAATTCCCAAAGCTTTTGGTAACAAGTTATTAAATGATAAACAATAAACTTATTATTTATTTACAGTAGTTCTTTGAGAAGTATCTGCATGGAGACGATCTACACATTTCACATACAAAGCAAACTGGATGTTAATCTTATCAGAACTTTCATCTCTGTAAACAGATGAACATCTAACCACGCTTTACCGATTTTCTCAGGCTGCTCTTCCATCTCAGAGGCCGAGGCAAGACCCCAACGCCCGACCTGACAAATCCCGAAGATCAGAAGAACTCTGAATGACCGATTTCTCAGAGACATTGTGGACACTTAGTTCTCCAGAGGTACTGATATTATAGAAAGAAACAGAGAAATTTAATAAGTAAAGCAAATTATATAGTTAAATTACAGGAAAATTACAGTTCAGTTCAGCACAATCCCTCCTGGGAATCACAACACAACTTTTATCTCTACCTGTTGGCAGCAGTTCAGTATAATAAATGTCATCTAGACTAATTCCCAACCTGAGCTACACACTCAGAGATTCATTAGTTAAGGCAATGGTTCTATTTAGAACTATGCGTTCCATACAGAACCATCTGCGTTCTTTGCATGGTCAAACTGTCCTTCAAACTTACAGAGAATGTGCTGTATATGGTTCTATACAGCACTGAAAGGGTTAAAAGCTTGTCGTCATCATAATAATAGCAGAACCTTTTTGATGCCACATAGAAACATTTTCAAAAGGGTTCTAAACAACACCATATACAACACATTCCCCATTAATCAGAAGAACAATTTCATGCAAATGGTTCTATAAAACGCTAAAACCCATGGCTAAAAATAGAACCATCGCCTTTAGTAAGGAACCCTCATCTTTGGAAGTGTGTACAGTAGAAGCAAGATCACCCTATAGATTGTAAAATAGAGGCTACTTTCTAATATCACTTAATCATTAAAAAATAAAACCTGCAAGTAAACAAATCTAGAACTGCAAAAAATCTAAGGCCTGATTCACAAATACTGCTGCTGCGTGGCGTTTGTGCTGCGGAGCCGTGAGAAAGTTATAGACATTCATTTTTCCAGACGGTTAAATGGTCTCAGTCACTCTGCTCGATATAAATACAATTTATTAAACTGCATATACATATTTATCTTCGACAGCATTCCAGTATTTCGTCATGAATTAAATTGTATATGGTTTTCTATTTCATTTCCAGATTTTCATGGCTCATTTCAGTATATTTTGCTGCGTCATGCGAAAAAACTCGGCGCCAATTTCTTACCCAGCGAGTGGTCCTACAGAGCATGCGCATTTCATTACCACAGCGTTGCAACTTAAGGTTTCTGAAGTTTTGTTGTGTTTTTATTGTTAATTCAGTACAGACTCAATATTAATAATACTTAATATTAATATTATTACATACTCCCCTGATAAGCTAATTTAGGCGATCAAAGTATCCTAAATATTCTTTTGATGCTGGCAACGTTTTCTGATAAAGAGATTTAGTTAGGCTATCAAGTTATCCTACCTATGGATATCAGTGCTGGTAGAATGTTCTGATAAGGTAATTTAGACCATCAAAATATCCTACCTATTTTATGCAGAACGCTCCTTGTATGTGTGTTACAGTAGGACATTTCGACAGGGAAGCACGATCCGCCACAACATCGGGTCTCTAAGCACCGCGCGACCTGCACACAGACTCGCTGGTTTAATTCACAGTGGAATATCTGCCTATCTGCTCATGCGAAACAGATTCTGTGTGTGTAAAAGGGAGAGAACCTCACCGTTTCCACAGCTCTGTAAGAGAGATGTTCTTGTGACTTTAGTCAGTGAAGTGTTACCAGCAGCAGCTGAACCGCCTCTAACAGTCACCCAGTTCAGAGCAACAACAGAACTATCCTCAGCTGACCTTTCTAACAGTCGCTGCGTCATAACATCTGGCTGTAAACAGCAGCATCAGAGAACTGGTAGAGAGGAGAATTAACAGAGCAGGTGTTACGGTAAATTCAGTTCCCCCTGTTCCCCCCTCCTTGCGCATGTCGAAATCATGACGTCTTCAGTCGACGCTCCTCTGCGGGGCTTAGATAGGCTTAATTCGTTTATTTTTGTACCGTAATCTCGTCCTATTCCTCGCGGTAAGCGAATTATCACGTTGTTTGTAAAATAACTTGTAGTTAAATACGTTTTAAAGTGTAAAATGCGTTGTTAGCAGATGTTTTAATGCTCAAACACTACGTGGGCTATCTTGCTAATGCTAGCTTTGGCTCCGTTTTCAACTACTCCGAGTAACAGAAGTTAGATTCATTGCGCCATTTCTGATTTAATTACCGTACATGCAGACATATTTTGTTGTTCAGACTTAAGTGATTTTAAGGTGTATTTATGTCCCATATCCTCGTCAGTCTCGCTAAGTTCTGTAAATAGATTTGAAACATTTGTTGCTGAAATAAGTAAACTGCATTAAGTTACACAGCACAGTAATTAGTCTGTGTTATTATTGTTAGACTACGTATCTCAGTGCACCTAGGAAGTTGGTTTCCCTGTAGGTTTTGAGGCTTAAGTCTTACTGTTATGGTACTAATGTGACTTGTCTTAAAAGTTACTGAGTGAAATGATCATGCACAGAAATAGATTATCAGCATCACTGCTGTGCTGTAAATCCACTCCAGCTGTAATATACAAGGGGAAACCACTTTTCTCAGGCTCTGGTTAAAGATGTCCCCCTGTATTCTCAGATCTAAAGGTGGTATAATATGAATAAAAGTAACTGTAAAGACAAGTCACATTAGTACCATAACAGTAAGACTTAAGCCTCAAAACCTACAGGGAAACCAACTTCCTAGGTGCACTGAGATACGTAGTCTAACAATAATAACACAGACTAATTACTGTGCTGTGTAACTTAATGCAGTTTACTTATTTCAGCAACAAATGTTTCAAATCTATTTACAGAACTTAGCGAGACTGACGAGGATATGGGACATAAATACACCTTAAAATCACTTAAGTCTGAACAACAAAATATGTCTGCATGTACGGTAATTAAATCAGAAATGGCGCAATGAATCTAACTTCTGTTACTCGGAGTAGTTGAAAACGGAGCCAAAGCTAGCATTAGCAAGATAGCCCACGTAGTCTTTGAGCATTAAAACATCTGCTAACAACGCATTTTACACTTTAAAACGTATTTAACTACAAGTTATTTTACAAACAACGTGATAATTCGCTTACCGCGAGGAATAGGACGAGATTACGGTACAAAAATAAACGAATTAAGCCTATCTAAGCCCCGCAGAGGAGCGTCGACTGAAGACGTCATGATTTCGACATGCGCAAGGAGGGGGGAACAGGGGGAACTGAATTTACTGTAACACCGGTTTATGAGGAGTCTGGCCACTTCCTATCCCCCACGTTATATCAAAACAGGACTGCCAAACAGCAGAGGGCGCCCGCGAGTGAGTCCTCAATGAATTGGGAGTTTCTAATCACTTGCCCAGAACTTCCTTTAATTTCAGAAAGTAGAAGGATGTATTTCACTAAAATAATAATCAGAATACGGAGGACCAGATTTGCCAAATTGAAAAATAAATAAAATTAAAAAATAAATGGCTCAGTAAATTAATCAATAAATAAAAAAATAAAGTATATATTGCTTATTGTGATTATAATTATACACATATTTCCTTTTTCTGCAGTTATATATTTTTTAATTTATTTATTTATTTCTGTATTATTTATTTTGTTGTATTAATGCCATTTTTATACATTTTTTCCGTATCTATATTTTAACAATTGTTCGCTTTATTCATTGATTCATGTATTCATTCTTTTTTTTATTAATTCATTTATTTATTTATGTATTACTTACTTACTTACTTACTATATGATAATAAGGGGGTGTGTTATTCACATTCAGGCTTAGCAATCAAGACCAGGAGGAGAAGAGCTGATTAAACTGTTCTTTCACCAACTCCATAAAGAGCTGCAATGCCACAGAACCCGACACGTTTTGTTCTGTGTACGTTTTTTCTCCCGAATACCACTGGATCCTCAAAATTACGAGGTCGTTAAAGAGCTGTAATACTAATATTGCTACATGTGAGCTAAAGCTACTGCGCATCAATTTGATGTCGCTAAGCTACACGAAACTAAGGCGGGCTGTGCCGGTGCTCCGACGAGCTACCGTAGCGAATATTTACAGGTATACCCATAAATAAAACCTCTAGGTAGGATTTTTTGATAGACTAAAACTCCTTATCAAAAATACTACCCGTGTTAAAACCACGAGGCTGAATTTAGCCTTTTGTTTGAATGTTCTCTTTCTGCCTTAAATGGTGCAGCAGCTGTGACTAGGCATCACAAACATTAGCAAATGGGACAAAATACTGACCTGTCGGTTCAGTGAAACAGCAAAAATAAGTTAATGTTATTCAGCTGTTAAGCGGAAATAGAGAAACCTCTTCATATCATGCCTTTCAATCCTCCATGAAGCTGAAGTCTGAGGCTATTCTGAGAGCCTTAATCTACGGAGCCCCGCTGGTGACATCCTGTATAAATAAAAACAATGCGTGGCCACAACTTAGTAAGGCGTGGGAACAAGATGATTAAGTCGTGGCCACGACTTAGTAAAGCGTGGGAATGAGATCCTAATGCGTGGTCACGACTTAGTAAGCCGTGATCTTGTTCCCACGCCTTAGTAAGTCGTGGCCGCGACTTAATCATCTCATTCCCACGCCTTACTAAGTCCACGCATTATTTTTATTTATACAGGATGTCACCAGCGGGGCTCCGTATTAATCAGTTTATCAGGGGGTGATAACCCGCTTAAGGAGGCTGCCAGTCTAGTGACGTGAATTCACTGCGCAGTAGCTTTAGCTCACATGTAGCAATATTCATATTTCAACTCTTTAACGACCTCGTAACTCAGAGGATTCAGTGATATTCGAGAGAAGAATGTTCACAGGACAAAACGTATGGGGTTCTGAACATTTTTATTTAACACAGGGGGCGATAGAGGCGATTTTTCGAAAACCCCATCCATTCTGCCCATAGAGAAATGGGGCTTAGAACCGGAGTTCCTAATATGGGCATAAGAACATGACGCCGACGACAGAATGACTACACGACTACAGTGGTCTATTGTACTGTCTTGTCCTTAGTTACCACTGAGAGAGCAAGACATGTACAATCGATCTACAGAATCTGACATCGATCAACCAAAAGGAATATTAAGACGCTGTGACATCATTGACTGACAGCCCCTTTATTAGCATAAGGACAAGGAAATACAGAAATAAATAAATAGAGAAATAAATAAATATAGAAATTAATAGTTATGGAAATAAATTAATAGAAAAACAGAAAAAAATGTTAAAGAAACATATAGACAAGAAAAAAAATAGTGAGAAGGGGAAATTACTAAATAGACATCTAAATAAATGCAGACATATGAATTTATATAAGATTTTATTTATTAATATATTTATGGTTACATATAATAATTTATTTTTTAGATTTCTTATCATTATTCTTTGCAGTTCTATGGAGGACCAGATTTGGCAAATTGAAAAATAAATAAAATTTAAAAATAAATGGCTCAGTAAGTTAATCAATAAATAAAAAAACTAAATAAAGTATATATTGCTTATTGTGATTGTAATTATACACATATTTCCTTTTTCTGCAGTTATATATTTCTCAATTTATGTATTTCTGTATTATTTATTTTGTTTTATTAATGCCATTTTTATATTTTTTCCATATCTATATTTTTAACAATTGTTCGCTTTATTCTTTGATTCATGTATTCATTTATTTATTTTTTCATCAATTCGTTTATTTATTTTTTCATTAATTCATTCATTTATTTCTGTATTTCTTCGTTCATATGATAATGAGGGGGCGTGTTTTTCACGTTCAGGCTTGGCAATCAAGACCAGGAGGAGAAGAGCTGATTAAACTGTTCTTTCACCAACTCCATAAAGAACTACACGGACAGACAAACCTGCCGATAAATAACTCTCGATGGCTTCCACAGGCCATATATGAGAAGGGCGTCCAAATGTCTGAGTGATCTGAATTTTGCAGGAAACGACGCTGAACCACCTCCTCCAAAGTTCTTAACACTACGGGGTCGACCTCTGTATCAGCAGAGGCAGCAAAATGGATCCAACTGTCCCCACAGCCTCCACACGAAAGAGTAAACAATCCGGACCTGCATTTTCAGCCAGATCAGCCGAGACTCTCAGATCTCTGACTGTCTGCTGCTGTAAGAAGCCATTACTGTACTGTCTTGTCCTTAGTTACCGCTGAGAGAGCAAGACGTGTACAATCTATCTACAGAGTCTGACATCGATCAACCAAAAGGAATATTAAGACGCTGTGACATCATTGACTGACAGCCCCTTTATTAGCATAAGGACAAGGAAATACAGAAATAAATAGAGAAATAAATAAATATAGAAATTAATAGTTATGGAAATAAATTAATAAAATAAATTAATAGAAAAACAGAAAAAATGTTAATAAAGAAACATATAAATAACAAAAAAAATAGTGAGAAGGATAAATTACTAAACAGACAAATAAATGCAGACATATGAATTTATATAAGATTTTATTTATTAATATATTAATTGTTATGTATATTTATTTATTTTTAGATTTATCATCATTATTCTTTGCAATTCTACTTTATATATTAATTTATGTCATTTATTTAAGTCATTTATTTTTAATTTTATTTATTTTTCATTTTGGCAAATCTGGTCCTCCATAACACAGAAGGGTGTTGTGTGTGCAGATAAGAGGACGTGCTACTGCTGTCGCAAGAGAACGTGCTAGCCCAGAACAAACGCCCTAGGCCCGAGCTATTGTGCCAACCCGAGCTAACGCGCTAGCTCCGAGCTAATGTAAGCTAACTACTTTGAGCATTTCACTCCACTACATTTCAAAGTCAAATATCTTACTTTTTACTCCACTACATTATGTAAAATCTGTCGTTCCTTTTGGCTTATGTGTGTAAAAAAATATAACATGTCAAAACAAAAGAAGTGTGAAGCAAACACACCAATCAGGGTACAGCACAGACTTTGTTTTGAGCTTGTTTTGACCTGTTGGACATACCGACCCAGTGTAAGCACGCGGTTCAAAGGCAGCACAGCAGCGTGAAATTTTGGGAGTGCCTATTCCAACATAAGCGATGGAACTGACCTAACTTTGTGTAAATAGACCACAATATATAAATATGTACACATATGCAGTTGTGACTGACATGTCTTTTTTCTGTATTTATACAAACATTATTTCATTTTATAGTAAATTTGTTTTTGCAAGTTTATGTTTATGAACAGAGACCTACAGATGCAATATAATAAAGGAAAACTCATTTGTGAACCTGTGTTTAAAGCAAGTTTATTAAACTTAAGCTTGTAACTAAGTTGCAAATAAATCTTAAACTGAAACTTTGTTTGCAAAAAGTTATTTCATGGTCACTCGGTTCTACCTGATGGAATCTGTTTGCCTTCAGTGTTTTGTGCTTATGATAATTTTAATATACATCAGTGACTAATTAATGACATTCTAATAAAGATTGGTTTACCAAGAGTGACACTGGAGTATTTTCACCTAAAATGAGTTAATGAAGCAAGAGTCTTGTTACAAAAATGGTAATAGGACATTAGAGCCATAAATAATCTTTTAGTACTTTGGTACTTTTGATACTTAAGTACATTTGAAGGCAAATACTTTTGTACTTTTACTCAAGTGGAGGTCTAAAGGGAGGACTTCTACTTTTACTGGAGTAATATTTTACCTTGAGTATCTCTACTTTAAATTATCACTTGTGGCTGTATTTAGGTTTGTAATTCTGTGATCCATATATTCCTTACATTAAATGCAAAAATCTGTTATAGTACGAAAATTAACAACAACAACAACAACAACAACAATAATAATAATAATAATAATAATAATAATAATAATAATAAACGTTCTCCAGAATGCATACTTTGACCTAGTGTGGCTTTTTCAAACGCAATACTATAGACTTTTATTTTGAAACAATATTGCCAAAGCCGGTCAGAACTGTTGCTGGTATCGCGCTGCTGCTCTGAACAGGGTGGAGGAGCTGTAGCTGCAGCTGCTAACAGCTTACTGACTGTAAAAGCACAAGAACAACTCTCTTCTGCAGAGCTCGGGAGACGGTGAGGTTCTCTCCCTTTTACACACACAAAAAATTTGAGTTTGAGCAGATAGCTGGATGTTCCAGAGTGAATCAAACCAGTGAGTCTGTGTGCAGGTCAGTAACTTTTAGTCGGTCTCAGATTTTCCTGCAGTTCCACATTTGTTCCCCTGCAGGTTTTATTTTTTAGTAATCAAGTGATATTAGAAAGTATCCTCTCATTTACCATCTATAGGATGATGTTATTTCTGCAGTTCACGGTTTTAAAAGGTGAGGGTTCCTTACTAAAAGTGATTGTTCTGTTTAGAACTATGAATTCTGTATAGAAACTTTTTGAAAATGTTTCTGTGTAGCCACAAAAAAGTTCTGTTATTATGATGTCGAGCTTGTAACGAGAGAAGTTCCCCTTTTGGTGCTGCGTAGAACCATGTACAGCACAGCCTCCATGAGTTTCAAGGAACATTTCACCAGGCACAGGAACATTTTCACCTTCGGCATGAAACATACTGAACTGCTGCCAACATGTAGAGATAAAGGTTATGTTGTAATTCCTAGGAGAGATGAACTGAGTGCTAAACTGAACTGTAATTGTCCTGAATTTTAACTATTTAATTTGCTTTGCTTATTAAATTTCTCCATTTCTTTTTAGATGCCAGTACCTCTGGAGAACTAAGTGTCCACAATGTCTCTGAGAAACCTGTCAGTCAAAGCTCTTCTGTTCCTTGGGATTTGTCAGGTGGGGCATAGGGGTCTTGCCTCAGCCCCCGAGCTGAAAGAGCAGCCTAAGAAAATCGGTAAAGCATGGTTAGATGTTCATCTCTTTTCATGTCTGATCTAATCACATGGACGAGTGGGTCCCAATCCTGGTCCTGCAGGAATTCTGGGAACCCTGTACTGCAAATTGTCCACCTGTTTGACCCTCATAAAATTTGTTAATTATCTGAGTTTAGCTGCGGAAACTCTGAGTTGACCGTTACAGAGGAACTCCATGACCAAGATTGAGAAACAGTGCTATAGATGAGTGGTGTAAAGTGTTAGTAGCAGTTTAGAGGAACTGACCCCTTTCACTCAGCTCAGCTCCAAAAATAAAAAAGGAAAGCTTGGATGTGATATTCTGAAACTGGATATTGTCACTGTCAAAGCAAAACCTTGTTTCTCTAAACTGAAACTTTATATGTTAAAATATAAAAACTGTATGTATAAAGTGATCCTAATATACTGTTACAACTCCAAAACTTCCAAATAGTAAGAGGTTGTATAAATGCAAGAAATATTAGTGTCCAAAATGATGAACAGAGCTGTAGTATAATGACAGAGAAAGCTGTAGAACATTTAAGAATAAGATTTAGAATGAAGTGCCAATAAAACTAACATCCAGAATGCCTCGTACTTGAAATGTGCTGATCAAACCTCAAGGCAGATAACTTCTCAAAGTAAAATATTTCTACAAAACTTTAGGAAATATAAAATGAAACATCTTAAAATATCTTCTAGTGTCTACACTGGGATATTTAGGTCTGTACTGTATATATTAATATTGAATAAGCAACAAATGTATTAATATGAAAAATTATTCCAAGCTTTTAAAAGTTAGTGTAAGAGATGAAAAAACATTCTTAATGGTAACAAGATTTTATTGTGGACCATGTCAGCTGGTGGTCTTATTACGGTGTATAACATTAAAAGTGAAAAATGAAGTAACAAGGTTTTGGTGTGACAGAAATAACGAATGTGGCTTTGCTGTGACTCTTTTAGCCATCATTGGAGGAGGAATCGGAGGAACAGCAGCAGCATATTTCCTCAGGCAGGAGTTCGGACCGTCCGTCAAGATTGACGTGTTTGAAGCAGGAACTGTAGGAGGACGTCTTGCTACCGAGAACATCAGGGGACACGATTATGAAATCGGAGGGTCCATCATACACCCGCTTAATTTGCATATGAAGCACTTTGTGGACAAACTGGGTGAGTTTTTCACAAACACATGATCCGTAGCCATATCATTATGTCCAGATGTCTGGGTCAGAGCATTTCAGACAAGGATTGTGGGGTGCTCCTGGTCAGCAGTGGTTAGTACCTACCAATAGTGACCCAAGGAGGAACTGGTGACAGGGTGCTGGGAGCCCAAAGCAACAAAGGCTACACCGTTTGGTAAGAACTGACAGAAGGGTTACTGTGGCACAAGACGCAGAAATTTGAATGATGGTTACGGGAGAAATATGCTGCTGCATACGGGACCCTGTAGCCGCAGACTGGTCAGAGTACCCAAGCTGACCCTTGTCCACCATCAAAAGCTTCTACAGTGAGCACACGAGTGTCATATCTGGACTTTGGAGCAATGGAAGGTCACCTTGTCTGACGAGTCCTGTTTTCATTTACATCACGTGGACGGAGAGGTATGTGTGCACTGTTTAACTGGGGAAGTGGAAGTGGTGGCACCAGTATGCACTATGGGAAGAAGAGAAGCAGGTGGATGGACAATGATGCTCTGGACAGTGTTCTGCTGGGAAGTCCTGGTCCAGCATTCAGGTGGATGGCAAGTTGATGCATTCCACTACCTAAATATCATTGAGGACAGAGTACACACACCTTCATGGCAATGGTATTCCTTCTTAATGCTCCCTGCCACCCTGCCACCCTATGCACCTTGTTCAGGAATGGTTTAAGGAACATGACAAAGAGTTCATGGTGTTGCTGTGACCTCCAAATTCCCCAGATCTCAATCCAATCGACCATCTATAGGATGTGCTGGGACAACAAGTCCAATCAGTGTTGGCTCCAGTTCGCAACTCATAGGACTTAAAGGATCTGCTGCAAACATCTTGGTGCCAGATACCACTGGGCACCTTCAGAGGTCTTGTAGAATCTATGCTTTGGTGGTTTGGAGCTATTTTGGTGGCACACAGATGATCAACCAAGCCTGTTTACATCATTTTTATCAGTGCGTACATCATGAAATGTTTCCACGAAGTAAAAGGCAGCTTTTGTTTTCAAATAGCGTAAAAAAAATCCAACAAACCAAAAACAGAGTTAGGAGATTTTGATATGATTGTATTGATACAGTAAATATTCAGATTCTTGCTCTCTCCGTCAGGTTTGTCCGCCCGTGCTGATGTCCCCTCTAAGGTGGCCATATTTAACGGAAAGGAGCTGACCTTCGAGGAAAGCAACTGGTTCATTGTGAACTTCCTGCGGATGCTGTGGCGCTACGGCTTAAACTCCATTCGCATGCACATGTGGGTGGAGGGCATTCTGGATAAGTTCATGAGGTGAGTTAAACCACAGTTCAGTTCTGGTCATCAGTTACATGATAAGAAGGACAATTCCACCTGTACTAAACATAGAGTATGTTCAATAGCAGTGATTTTACAATTTGTCTTCATTTAGGAGCCACATTGCTCCTTTATCATTAAGTCACAATTCAAAGACAATTCAACTTTATAATCCTTATCGTTTATTTCACAAATAAGCTATGTAGGCTCCATACATTCATGCTAAAACCTCACTACGCAACACACAATGACAGTGTGAGATGCCAACCCTTACCCACTGAGTTTTTCGCTTCTCACAGGATTTATCAATACCAGCAGTTTGGTTACTCCTTCTCCAGTGTAGAGCGGCTCTTGCACGCCATGGGTGGAGACAGCTTCCTGATGCTGCTCAATCAGACGCTGGAGGAGGCCATGCTGGCCGATGGCTTCTCTCAGGTCTTCATCAATGACATTGTGACTCCAATCTCGCGCGTTAACTATGGCCAGAGTGTTCGCCTCAGCGCTTTCGTGGGTAAGTTTCACAGCACATCGTTGAGTCAGGCCAAATAAATGTAATATCCTGCCTAACAGGGGGAGTAATTTCTGACCTTAGAGTTATTCAATTCAATTACTTTTCTTTAGGAAATGATCTGGTACATCATGAAATGTAAAATTTCACCACGATTCAATTTCATCATTTTAGTACAATTCAGAATTATTTTTAGCCATCCGTAGCCAGAAGTCCAAGAGAGGAAAATTTTAACAGTGAGAGCTGGAGGCATTCATGCAATGGAGCCAAATGGACATCATCTGCAAACAGCAGAGACGCAACCCTCCAGCCTCCTAGCGTAATTCCCTCCTGACCTTGGCTGCATCTTGACTGAGGCTGAGCAGTGTGATACCCCAGTAATTGGCACACAAATCCGGTTCCCATTTCTTAAAAATAGGAACCACCATCCCGGTCTGCCAGTCTAAGGGTACTGTTCCTGAGGTCCATGCGACATTGCAGAGGTGTGTCAGCCATGACAGCCCCACAACACCCAGAGCCTTAAGCATTTCTGGGCGAATCTCATCCACCGAGGAGCTTGCCAGCTACCTCAATGACCTCCACCAGGTAAATGGAGTCTGACATGCCAGAAGCGTCTGGCCGTGACTTCTGTGAGGGAGGCATGTCTCACTTTGAGTTCCTCAAAGTGATCCTTCCGCTGACTGACAATATCCTCATTTGAAGTCAGAGTTTCTCCACCCCCACTGACTACAGCTTGAGCAAAGCCACTGCTGAGCCGCTGGACAGTTGTCCAGTACCTGTTGTCCAGAATCTTGACTTGAGCTTCTTGACTTGACTTGAACCTCCTTGAAGACAACCGAAAGTGTTCTTCCATGGCCTCGCCAAAACTCCTCTCATGCTTCTTTGCCCGTCGGTACTCACCATCCAGGAGGAAGTCGCTACTCCTCCACATTGAGAGGAGCCAGTCGAGGTGGTTCAGGCATCGGATCAGGATGTCCCCTGGCTGCCTCACGGTGGAGGTTTACCAGGCATGGCCTACTGGGACGAAACCCTGAGGTCGTCCTAGGACCCGCTGGAGGGATTATATCTCCAAGTTGGCCTGGGAGCGGCTTGGGGTCCTCCGGAATGAGCTGGAGGAAGTTGCGGGGGGACAGGGATTCGTCTGGGATTCTCTGCCCTACCATCTGCTACCGCGACCCTATCTGGATTAAGCGGTTCAAAATGACTATGATTATTATGATGATGATGATGACTATTCTCAGTCCAGCAGTGACACTGAGGTGTTTAAAAACTCCAGCAGCACTGCTGTGTCTGATACACTCACACCAGCACAACACACACTAACGCCACCACCATGTCAGTGTGACTGCGGTGCTGAGAATGATCCACCAACCACATAATACCTGCTCTGGGGTCCTGTGGGGGTCCTGACCATTGAAGGGTATGCAGAGAAACAGATGGACTACAGTCTAATTGTAGAACTACAAAGTGCTTCTATAGGGTAGGTGGAGCGGATAAAATGCACAATTCTCTTCTCTCAAGTTGAAAGTAAACATACCATTGTTCTGTCTGAAGAAATTATCGCAACACTGTGTTAAAAAAGCAATAGAAAACATAAATGTCAAACAGTTTTCAAATATTGCAGAATGATATGAGTATGATTATACTCTCACTATTTTTTAAGATGTCTACACACTTTATTTATAAATTCTTGTGTTATTTAGAATGGCTACTTTCTAGTAAGTACTTTTGCTTACAGCCAGCTTTGCCGATTTGCCTAAAAGAAGGTTTGTGTCTAATGGCTCAGAATTATTAAGGACAATAACACCATCTTCAGGGTGGAACTGTACATGCAGCATCTTACTGCTTAATTCTTTAATGGACATGCATTCCTCGGACGTGCATTAAGCCTAGACTTAGACAAAATTATAACATTAACGGTAATTATTCTTTGGAAAACCTTTTTATTCTAGGCTTGAGCTAAATCAAGATCTGGGAAACCAGCCTTAAGCCAGTTGATAATAAACAAAATACTGTAGTCAAACGTGTTGCATATAGACTTATAAACATGCATATTGTTTGTATAAATGTTCTTATTACTTATAAAAATGTATATTAAGATAAAACAGTACTGATCTTTCTTCTCTGCAGGTGCCGTGTCCCTGGCCGGTGCAGACTCTGGCCTGTGGGCAGTGGATGGAGGAAATAAGCAGGTTTGCTCGGGGCTTTTGTACAACAGCAAAGCTGAAGTTATCCAGGCCCGAGTCACGTCTGTTTCTGTGAAGATGAGGCCATCCAGAAGCGGTAAGGCATTTCTTTATTGGCTGTGCAAAACGTCAGACCTAGTTCAGGCCATGGCTGATCAACATTTGTTAGAGCCGAGAGCCTGGAGTTCACCTGCACCTGAAAGTCTGATCAGCTGGGCACAAACCCAGGCAACACTTTACATGAACCCTGCTACATTACACTGACATAACATTAACAAGTCATTGCAGACGTCACATGCAGCTTATGTCATGACAGTTTATGTCACATGCTGTATTTTTTTCTGTAGTTAGCTAGTATGACATCAAACATCATGACATATGTCATGACGATTACCACTAATGATAATGCTGTTATTTTACAGAAGAAAGTTTCTCGTGGGAACTCTTGACAGCATATAACGCCCATTAATATTATGTAGAAGGCTTCAAGTAAAGTGTTTTCCTTCCCTGTGCAGTGAAGAGGAGCTGGGGCAGGCTGATAAACACTGAAAGAAGATGAATCTGGTTGAAGTCATTGGAGAAATGATCAGCATTTGAAGGCACTGACGAGAATTTTATTTTTTTTATCATTGGTTTAATTTCACGCAAAACATAGCTATTTACTGAAGTAACAAGATTAAACTAGTGACTTGTGGTATTATGGGAATACAGCAGTGCTCTGTGCTGTTTTGGATGGAGTGGGGGAGTGTCAATGCAGTGCAGACTTAGCCCTGCCCCCACTAAACTGAAACAGTGCAAAGGAACTCTGGGAGATGTAGAAATAATACCTTCTGGAATAAAACAGTTAAGTATCTCTAAAATTTCACTGCAGGATGTCATGATTTATTTGTTGTTTATTTAGAGGGTTGACTATTGTTTGATCTTTGACTGCGTGACTGGTCACTTTTAAGGCTTCCTAATTTTTTTGAAAAATAAGGAAAAACAAGCTACCACCTGCTGGTGTTCTTTATGTTGCCATAGCTAAGCCACTGACTCTGAAATGCAAGAAATCAGTCTAATTTATCTAAATATAACCACACTGTGTTTTTATAACTTCTCGCTCTCCCCACCAATCAGGTACTGTAGCGAACTTTTATGAGCTGAACTACGTTGGTGACTCTGGCCCCGCCCACTCCCTTTATGACATTGTGATCGTGGCCACGCCTCTTCACCAAGGTCTCTCTGACATTAGCTTCTCTGGCTTCTCTCCTCCAATCCCATCTCACTTTCCTGGACGCTACCACCAGACTGTTGCCACGCTGGTCCTGGGCCGGCTCAACATGTCGTATCTGGGAACCAATCAGAAACCGGCCGACTTTGCCGTCTCTGATATTCTGACCACGGATAACGAGGTGCTGGCTATCAACAGCCTGGGCTCTCTGGACCCAATCCGTATTCCCCAGGGTTACCGCCAGCCTCCAGCCAGCGAGAGCAGAGTGTGGAAGGTATTTTCCCAGGAGCCGCTGTCTAAGGAGCAGCTGCGGGAGATTTTCGTGTCGTGGGAGGGGGTGTGGGAGAAGCGCTGGCTGGCTTACCCCTCATACAGTCCCCCACAGCGGCGCATGCCACCGTTCATTCTCCATGACCGTATATTCTACCTCAACACCATTGAATGGGCTGCCAGCTGCATGGAAATGAGCGCCATCTCAGCCCGCAACGTGGCGCTGCTTGCCCACCACCGCTGGCACGACCAGACCGACAAAATCGACCAGGAGGACCTGCACACCCGCCTCCGTGGAGAGCTGTAGAGGAGGCGGGGAGCAGAGTCCAGTCCTGGAGTGCCTCATACGGTTTACCCTACATTTTCAGCTGAACGTCGCTGGATCCTCTATATTACGAGGATGTTAAGAAGCTGAAATATGAATTTTACAACATGTAAGCTAACACTGCTGCACATTGAATTGACATCACAAGGCAGCGAGTGCACAAGAATACCTCAAACAAACCAGCAAGATTTATCCAGTGTGGGAGTTAAGGTGCTTTGGGAGTAGTAGAGTATGGTAGGAGTAGCTGGAGTTGGTATATAACAGTGTTACAGTTACAGTGTTGTTTAAAAGTAGATCTGCTTTAATGCAACATCAATAGTGGTAGCTTGTCATTAGCACAGATGTAGCAATGTTCATATTTCGACTCCTTAACAACCTCGTAATTTAGAGGATCCAGTGATGTTCAGAAGAAAATGACTGTAAGATCTGAATCCTTTCTTATTTACCACAGGGCACCGACTTTCAAGAATCCTTTTGATTTTTGCCATAGAGAAATCCAGCTTTGACCTGAAGTTGCTAATATGGGTGTGGACACCAGCTGTAGAATGACACATGCCTTCAGAGTTCTATTGCACAGTAAGCTGGCCACAACTATTGGTTGCATTCTGATTGGCTATACTCACGTCATTGTGTGCACACACTTCCATGCAACAGGTTTCATCAGTCTGGAGCCTTTTGGATTGAGACCGTTCACTGAATTGAAAAAAGTTTCACAACATTGTGTGTTTAAAAGTTGTTTGAGTTTTCTTTGAAGCATTTAGTTGCTTTTAAGTAAGATATCTTCACGTTCGCCAACGCATTTGTTTTCCATGTGTCTGTGTTGGTTGTAGCTCCCCTACACGTCATGCTACACTGGGGGTCTGTGATTGGAGCTGTCAAAGTTAACAGGATTTAAAAAAATGTTTCCATCTGCTACCATGGCGTAAATTTGTTTAATACTGAAGTGTGCCATGTCTGAAGCATCTTTTACAAGTAAAACAGAGCACTGATGCCAGCAATATCAGTAACATTTATAATGTAAGCACTGGCAGACTACACTGGACAGTGCTTGCAGGAAAACTATAGACAAATCAACAACCCATGCGCTAGAAAACAGAGTGAAAGCTACAGTTCCCCTCAAAACAACATGTAACTCAGCAGTATGAGGTGCAAGAGAGGAGGTGGAACATGCAGTCACTGATGCTCTCACTGGATGCCGTGGAAATTGGAAACTTCGCTCACCCTATTTTCATGTTCACTCTGCATTCATGCGTATGTTAATGTTGAATTATTGAAAGTTATGAACACATTCTGATGAAACTCATTTTGTCCACATATATAGCTGTAACAAAATGTACTACCTTTTGAATAGCAAAACTTTCCTTAGGCTCAAATTAGAACAAATATGTCGATTGGATATGATAAACTAATATAATTAATCGTGATTATTTAATCATTTAACAGTCCTTGTTATTTCATGTCAACCAAAAGGCCTTTCCTGGTAGGTGATTCTTGGCCATGTTGAGTGACAAAACACTCCAGACTTGGGCAGATATCTGGCTTGCGAGACTAGCCGTCCTTCATCAGTGGTCAGTTTTTGGCAACAGAACCACTGAATATTTTTGGGACCGCTCTCAACCAAGTAGCAACACTGACGTGTGTGCGAAAGTTCCAAAATATCTGGACAGCAGTGGCTCTGTGGAAACTGACCAGTGATGAATGAGGTCAAGGGGGCTGATAAACTGTGCAGCAGCAGATGGAGTGCAGTTTCTAACTGTAAAGCTGTACTGCAGACCTGCAAGGTAGATGGAGCTCCTAAAGTGGATAAAGTAAAGTGCTCCTTTAAGAAGCAGCCGTAAAGGCTTAGCTTACTCAGACTCTTCAAAATAGTTTTGTCTCCAGCAGCACTAACCAGCCACTTTAAAAGAACAAAAACACTTTTGTTGGTGTTTAGTATTTTTGTGATTAATGGAGTTGAATAATTAATTGTCTCACACAAATTTAATACATTTAAGGATTTAATGTAAACAACTTTGATACATTTGATTAAAGATCATTTTTTGGGGTTCCTGCAAGTGCAGTTGTAAAACTGATTTTTTTTGTTTAATAAGGATTAATCTGCTGATCTGTTTATGAACTGCTGGTGAGTAAAAAGGAGTAAAATGGCAGAGAACCTTTCATTTTTTGATCAAATAACACTGCTGATGTAAAAATTCAGGGTTAAACTGCACAAATGATCAGTTCTTATTGAATTCCCTGTTTGTAATAAGCATTGAGAATGAAAAAAAGAAGTTTGTACCTTTTTTTTAAGGAGTGAACAGTTGTCACTGCACCAGTCAATAGACCTGCTCAAGACCTGCTTCTTTATACTTTTGGTGGGTTGTAGCAAATGTGATTTGTATTAATTTTGCCAATGATAGAAGTTTGTAATGATTATTTCATAGAATTGAAAAATATTGTCTTCCAAAAAGTGATCTTTGTTTACATTCAGTAATAAAATGGAAAAGTTTGTTGATTGTTTAAAAGATGCTAAGTGTTTTTTTTTTAGGCTTTTGAGGACTACTGTGTTGGGTTAAAGGGGAATTCCACCTTTTTTTCTATATTTTCTGCATAATGAACCAGTTAAGATGTAAACAGAGTCATTCAGAGTGGGTTGGTGTTAAATGCTCCATTCCACATAAAGTTATTACATGAAGTGGTCATGAATACACTGCCTGATGTCTGAGACATTGCTTTACGATAGTTTTGAGAAGCTTTCAGGCTGATTTTTTAAAAAATCCATTCATGGTGGAGGGATACGTGCAGGATGTTGTGAGGCAAAATAGTTCCCAAAGCTATATTTGTGTTGTAGTCATGGGGAACTCCACCAATTTTTCAAGAGTTCCATATAATTCCTTGGTTATGATGCAAACAAAGTCACTCGGAGTGGTTTGATCAAGTCAGAATTGTTCGCAGTAGTGGTGATAGGAACCAGACGTCTGAAGAGTTTAGGGCCTCTAAAAGTCATTGTTTTATGAGTGGTAGTCATGGTGACCCCTGGTTCTTATCACCACCACTGTAAAGAAATCTGAGTCTAGTTTCACTTCATTGTGCCATTTTACATCAAATCACTCTAAATGACTTTGTTTATATTGCAACAACGGATATTACGCAAACGTTTTCAAAAACCTGTGAAATTCCCCTTTTAAACTAAGCAAATAAACAGTTATCGTGCATTAAAATGTGCAGAAGTGCCCCCTCTGTAGAGAGTGTGTTAAATTAATTTCACTTAGAAAATCAACAACATGTAATGCTGACCAAAGGCGTTCAAACTTTTGCACACGACTATTATCACAATATTTTGCTTTTCTGAGTTGATAAACTGGAACCAACCATAAGTAACATTTACATAACTGCTCTAGATTCAGTTGAACAAGACTAATACTTCTCTCTTTTTAATGATGCATAAGGTTCAGTGTATTGTGATGGAATGTGTTATTATAATACATAGTGCTTTCAAAAAAGATTGAAATGTTAGACACTCTGAAGAGAGTGAGGGGCGTTCCGGACAAACATCATTGCATTTCCATGCTCTTTCACTCATCCAGTGTTTTGTTTTGTATTGTAGTCATTTCACACTTACTGGAAAGACTTTGTTACATTGTGTGTGAAATATGCAAATACATGAGGCGGAAGCAGCTAAACGATGTGTAGCTGTAACTGGAGCAGCGTTTGCCTATCAGTATGAGATGTCCTATTAGTGAGGTCATAAAGGAAACCTAATGGCTGTGGTGCATTGAGATGAAACTACTTTTCTCTGAGAGCTGTTTTAAGCTTTGTTCAAGCCGTCATTGTTCAAGCCATGATAACATGCTGATAATGAGCTTCACATCGTGTGTGGAAGAGCGAGCTGCAGCCTGTAGAATAAACACACGTGCACTCAAGAACTTTCTCTTTCCATCTTAGAGTAATTGCTGAAGCAGATGTCTCATTAGCGCTGTTCGTGAGTGATGTGGTGGTAATCCCACCTGGATCCTAACGTCTTCTAAAGGGAGGCTATTCTATCATTGACTGGCCCCTTTATCAGAAACCCCTCACTGTGCTGGTGTACAGTTAGACACTGTAGCTGATCTGTTGATGCACAGTTTGTGGTAGCCCTTCATCATTTGTCAGTTTCTGACAACAGAGCAAACTTGACTGGGTTTTTTGTAGGTGTTTCCAATAAAGTGGCCAGTGAGTGGAAGCACAAGGTGGGTGTTTCCAATAAAGTGGCCACTGAGTGCATTACAAGGTGGGTGTTTCTAATAAAGTGGCCAGTGAGTGGAAGCACAAAGTGGGTGTTTCTAACAAAGTGGCCACTGAGTGCATTACAAGGTGGGTGTTTCCAATAAAGTGGCCACCGAGTGCATTACAAGGTGGGTGTTTCTAATAAAGTGGCCAGTGAGTGGAAGCACAAAGTGGGTGTTTCTATTAAAGTGGCCACTGAGTGCATTACAAGGTGGGTGTTTCCAATAACGTGGCCACTGAGTGCATTACAAAGTGGGTGTTTTTAATAAACTGGCCAGTAAATGAATCCCTAATGTCATCTACTTGTTATGTCCCTTTAAATTGGGACTACTGACTTATGGTCTGTATGAAATGAAATTGAAATATAACCCAGTATCTCATGATCCATCTTAAATCATGCAGATCCAGTCTGCAAAACAAGGACAGATCAGAACAATGGCCTTTGGGCACCAGCAGTGACATCATGTCTTTGAGTATCACTGACTGCATGGGCTGCAGACACTGCCATTTCCCTTCTTTCCTTACAGCCCAGTGTCAGTGATGATCAAATAGGCCTGTAGTAGAGGAAAGGGTAGGAATAGGGGGTCTTCCATTTATTCATATAATATTCAGTAAAGGATATTCTCACAAAAATAAAAATCACCAGGCTATACAGTTCTATTGACAAATGCAGCCGCTTTTAAAAAAATAAAAGTGCTAAGTTTATAAAGCTTGGTATATTGTTTTTATTGTCTATATTCCATGACTCTGTAAACAGTAATAGGGTTAACGTCACTACACTCCTATCAATGATTACAGGAAAATAAGCCTTTTGTCTTTTAAATGATATGATTATCATGAATTATACTTAATATGCTTAAAGACATAAACTAGCAAGGTTAAAAAAAATGTTTAATTTCAGGTTGACTTCAAGTCTTTACTAAGTGTTTGGTTTGTTTCAAGCCATCATAGCAATTTCAGTGGCACCAGTGATTTGCACTGTCTTGACTGCACTCTTAAAAAGATGGTTGTTCAAGGGTTCTTTAGTAAAGCAAATAGGTCTATATAGAACCATGAACACTTAAAGAACCTTTTGCATGATTAAAGGGTTCTCTGCATCATGAAATGGTTCTTCAGATTGATGGAAAATGTGCATGAATGTGCTATAGACCTGTAGAACCATCTATAGCACATTCGTCAATCTGAGGAGCCATTTCACTACACAAAGAACTCTTTAATCATGTAAAGGTTTCTTTGAGTGTTCATGGTTATTATATGGACCTATTTTCTTTACTAAAGAACCCTTGAAGAACCACCTTTTTAAAGAGTGTAGTAAAAATGAACTAATGTATAAACGATAATACATTTATAAGCAATTAATAGACACACTATCATGGAAACACAGAATGTTAATTTTCATTGAGAGGCCATGCCTTACATTGGTTTTATCACTGTTAAAGGGCAATTCCACTGGTTTTACAAAATTTCTAAATACTTCAATCATTAAGATGTAAACAAAATCATTGAGTGATTTGATGTCAAATGCTCGAAACTGACTGACTTAGGTTTCTTTACAGTGGTGGTGATAGGGACCAGGGGTCGCCATGACTACAACACAAATGTAGATATTTTATTTACTATCCAAAATCACCAGTGAACTTACACATGTCTTCTGAGTTTTATATGGAATGTTAATGATGGTAAAATAGTGATGAATCTGGAAAAAAAATGGTTTTCTTTGGGGACTATTTTGCCTCATAACACCCTGCGTGTATCCCTCCACCATGAACAGATTTAAAGAACTGTTTGAGGGCAAAATCTTCTCAAACCTATTGCAAAACAATGTCTCAGGCATCAGGCAGTGTATTCATAAGCATTTCATGTACTTTGTTAGGGAGCTTCTAGAGGTGAATGCCTGGTTCCTATCACTACCACTGTGAACAATTCTGACTAGAACAGAGCGTTTCATACCAAACCACTCTGAATGACTCTGTTTACATCTTAACCATTTAATCACGCAGACAGTTAGAAAAAATTGAATTCCTATTTATGGGGTGTTGTTAGACACAATGTGAAGCAGAGTTTTAATAAAAAAAAGATACAGAATTCAATCAATATGTGCTATCACTGAGTAGCTTTGAAATCACACTTTTATCCAAATCTATAACATTTTCATGGTTGCACAATCATATTTGACTTTTTAGCATGGGACAGATGTTTGTATTTGATTTGATCTAATTTTTCTAATCAGTATTTCATGTATTGTACTTTGGAATAGCAAAATGATTAAGTGATGCTGAGTTGCTCCACTAAAACGTCTACTTTTTATTCATTTTACTGCATTTGTAATAAATATTATATTTGTCTGTAATGCCATGCAGGTAGATGTGGCTCCCGTTTGTACATTTTATTATTGTTTGCATATCAGTGTTGGCCCACAATTCCCATATTGTTGCATCCCTAAAAATTGTGTTTATTTACTTTGATGTTTCCTCTCCAAACACAGCTCCAACATCAGTCACTGGCACGCGCGATGACGGGACATCTGACCTGGATGACCACAATGGTGATCATTCAGTGCTGAGATAAAGGCTGTCTGTCCAGCGGCCGAGATGTGCCACCCAGCTTCTGGCAGGTAGGAATGGAAGTGCCGGCCTGTTCATGCAAAACATGTGATGTCCTCTGCAGTATAATAGCCTGAGCTGACCGATGCAGCGCTCCAAAGTGCAGATCATCTTCCAGCACAGCCCTTCACTCTACAGCCCTTCACTCTTCACTTCAGCCTGACTGACCGCTCCAGGATGAGAGCTGGTGTTTCTGTTCTGCTCTTAGTGGCGCTCGCAGGGTTGGAGAGCGGTAAGGAAGAACATTTACAGACACTGAAGATTCACAGAGAACTCCAGATTTTTGAGAGTTTTCAAATGATAATACTTTTACTACTTTTAAGTAAAACTATCTACTTTTCCTCAGTTTCATTTTAGTCATTAACAGTTAATTCCTAACTCTTTTTATTCTGGGTTTAACTTCACTATGTTGTGTTGGTTCAGTTCCTGTCCTGCTTTACTGTTGATCACTCCTCTCACTTTGGAGCTTCACCATTTTATTTTAGACCAAAAAGAGAGAAGAATAGAGTCTAACAAACCTGTTATATAAGTTCCTAAGTTGCTGTTGGCGTCTACTTTTACTTCCACTTGAGTTATTAATGAACTGAAGTAACAGTAATTTGGATTTGCAATGATATACAGTGATATGCGGAAGTTTGAACACCCTCAGTCAAATT